TCAGCTCTAGCAAGCATAGCCAATGAAGAAGAATGGGTTGCTTGCTCTGGATTAAATCTAATTTTTATACTCTGGCAGGATGGATAAAAATCACTATTTAAAAAAAAATAAAAAATGGATTAATTTGATTTAAATTGGATTTTTTTTTACCTTAATGACCTTTGAGGAAAAATCTATTTAAAGATGGTTTTCTATTTAAGATACATTATAGTCCAAAGGTTATTCATCATGAAATAAGGATTCGTTTTTAATTATGTAGCATGAAGCTGTATATTCATGCAATGTTCAATTTTTTTGGTAAATGAATTCCATTCATCCATTCACTATGTGCTCTTCCAGAGGTTTTTGTAAGATTACTGGGTAATTTTTATATCTAGAAGATATTATCGCAGATACTTGGTTTTACAGTTCCCAAAACTCTGAATTTGTGTCTGCAAAGATCACATGACTCTTCTTCACAGCAAAAATGTTACAAATGAGCATACAGAGTTGAGAGCTTAATTCCATTGCTCCTTTGCAAAACATTGTGCACAGAATAACCCCTTACTTCTTAAGTGTTAAGTGTAAAAAAAATCAATGAATAGAAGATTGTTGGGAAAGGAATACATCTGCACAAGAAGCTAAGTGTGAGGAGGGAGGGGCAAGCTGTAAAAAGAAAGTGAAACCTTTTGAGAAGAATCCTCCACAAGTGCTTGGGTCTTTTGTGTATAGCCTGAGGTCTATCATATTATTCTTTCCCTGAAGGAGAAAACCTATAATGGCAGCAGGCTGTAAAAGACATCCAGTTTGGGAATATTTTAATGAAATTCCTCTACTCATGGGTAAGGCAGGCATGCGCGTAAATTATGCAGAAAAGCATGATTTAAATCTCGTCCCACTGATTTGATGTAAATCAAATCCACCCAGTATACTAGCCTTTTCCTAATTGCCCCATTCCCCACCTGGCACTCTCTCTCAACATTACAAATGGACCAACAGGCTCCAAAAGGTTGAGGACTGCTGACACAGCTATTTCAGCCAGGCTGAGGAGTTCCCTTGCAAGCAGAAATGACGACCTTGCCAACTGACACATACAGTGGTACCTTGGCTCACGAACTTAACCCGTTCCACGACTCTGGTTGTGATCCAAGTCAAATTTCCCCATGAGGTTCAATGTAAATAAGGTGTAACTATTTTTTTTTAAATCAGAAAAAATTGAAACAAAGTGACAAAGAACAACAAAGTACTGTACAGTGCAGTAGAGAACACTAACCTAGGTGCGGGGGGAGGAGAGGTTATCGTTCTGAGGACATTGGGGAGATCTCTTTCAGGGGTTTCCTCTCTTCTTTGTTTCTTAGCTGCAGTGTCAATTTTGGTGAAAAATCTATCTATAGTCACTTTTTTTTCCTGCGCTGCATAACCCTCCGGAAATGAGAGACCACGTTATCGTTCATCAGATTCAACACTCTGATCGTTACAATTATGTTGGGGTGTTGCTTTTCAAAGAAATCCTGGCACTCATTCAATTTCTTCATAATGGATCGCATCACATCACTGCTAACCTCCTCCCCGTCTTCCTCTTCCTCAGTGGAATGCTCCTCAGCAAGTGCCTTCTGCTGCTCACTCTGGAGTTCAGCAAGTTCTTCTGTCATCAGCTCCTCTATGTCTTCCCTACACCAATGCAACTGCGATCGTGGCCATCTCCCCACTCAGCAGTGGGGGTGGGGAGATGGTCACAATCATGCTGGTTGGGGAGGGGGAGATAGCTGAGATTGCGCCCGTCTTTCCTGCAGGAGCGTGCCCGTGATCATGCACCTCTTCCCTGCACGAATGCAACTGTGATCGTGGTTGCCACCCAATGCGGAGTTCTCAACCCAAGTCAAAATTTTCATGAACTTTTTGTTCATGATCCGATTTGGTTGTGAACCAAGGTGTTTGTGAGCCAAGGTACCACTGTATTTTCAAGATAAACCCCCAAATTTGCAAGGTATACGTTTTCCCTGTAGCAAACAAGCCACTTCATGGTAACATACCCACAGTCCTATAAGCAAATCTCCATGTTGGACTAACACCATACAAAAGTAAAACTTGCTGTGAGGAAAAACTTAAGCACCATCATGCTGTGTTTTATTTTGTTTTGTCTTATTGTTAAGCCATCCCGAGACTATGGTAAGGGATGGTCTAAAAAAGTTTTAAGTAAATAAAGTAAGTGTGTGAGCTGAAACCCAGCTCCTGCTTTCTTCCTGGGTTGGAGAAAGGACTATAAACAGAAGGGCTTTCACTCCATGCTACAAGATTCTTCTCAGCTAGAAATGCAGAGGAGTGAACCTGGGATCTCCTGAATGCAATATATGCCAGCCTTGTACAGTGGTACCTTGACTCACAAACACCTCAGTTCATGACCAAATCGGGTCACAAACAGAAATTTCAGAAAAAAATTGCCTCAGGTCGAGAACTCTTCATCAGGTGACAATCGCAATCGTGCCCATCTTCACTGCATGAGCGTGACCGTGATAGCGCTCGTGGGGGGGGGGAGATGGCTGCGATCACACCCATGTTCCCCGCCCAAGCGTGACCATGGTCACACCTGTCTATGGCCGCAATCACAGTGATGCTCATGCAGGGAACACAGGTGCGATCGAGGTCATGTTGGGGGTGAAATGCTCGGGGGAGTGGGGGAGATAGCTGCTATCTTTGTTGTTCTTTGTCACTTTGCTTCAAATTTTTGTGATTTAAAAAAAATAGTTACAGAACGGATTAACCTTATGGGGAAATTTGACTTGGGTCACGACCAATTTGGGTCACGACCAGAGTCATGGAACAGATTAAGTTCATGAGCCAAGGTACCACTGTACTAACCAATATCCCTCCCATTTTAGCAGGCTTCCAGCAGCTCCCAGTGCTTAAAAACACAATTATTGCAGTACTTCAGGTAGTTAGAGGCAATTTCTAATCAAATTGGAAATTCCACTATTATAACCAGAGGAAAATGTTTGAAGCATCTGCATGTACGCCTTTCTTCTCAGGGCTGTTTTGCCCCATTACTTTTAGCTGATACACTTAAACCTGAAACCATATAGAACTTTAACACAGGTAGAAAAGCATGCTCATCTGTTTTTGATAGAAGTTGCATGATCATTTCTGGAGTACTTTTAGAGGCGCTTTTCTACCTTACAGTGTAGTTGAAAGGTTTATTACAACACATTAGGCACTCTTAATATGCGAGACTAAATAAATACTATATATCATGGCTTATCTTTAAAAACTTGTGCAATCACAGCACTTTACGGACACAAGAGGCCACCTAGAGCAATCCCCTAATACAAGGACTTATTATCCCTCATAGGACAAATTACATTTTTCACACACTTCTACAAAACAGAGAGGGAATGTATCTATGCGGTCATCACAGAAATTTCTTGTAGAATAAAATGGTTTTGGGTGGTTGAAGCAGGCAAACAAACTTGTTGGCTGGCCTCAAACCACAGAGGTTTAAAAAGGCAGTCGTCTTTTATTTTCCATGTCTAACCACAACAATAATGGTAGAAGTTAAAATGGAAATTAAAGTATCTAAACTCAGTCCAAAATGGGTGCACCAGTTCACATGATAATTCACTATATTCAACATGCCAGCCTTCAGATGTTTTAAAATGTTTATGGTCCACATGCAAAGAAGCAACTAGCTTCACCCTGCTCCTTTGCTCTTTTTGTCCTCTTCCAGGACTCCAAACTGCACATAGACTCTTTACAGATAGAGGAGGTTCCCCATGGCAGAGAGTAAGTTCCCATACATGAACAACAGTGATGAAGTGGCAGAGCTATGTTTATTCTGGCTCCCCCTCCATATGTGTGGACCCTGCATATATTAGTGCCTTCATAAAGCACCTCCCTTTGATGAAGAACACTGTTCATAGAAAACGAATGGATTTGCATATAACAACAAAATGGGTTGTTATTGAATCAAGGGTTGTCACTGTGTGTGAACCCTTCCCTATGGTTTAACTACATGTTGCTACCCACAAAGAACACAGGAAGAGAGCCTGAGGTTTGTTGTTGGGAACTCAATTAAATCTCTGAGGCATATATAATTGTTCATACAGGAGAGATTTTTCATACTTCTGAAGCATATATGGTACTATTCTATTCCTTTTCACTTGTAGTTTTGAAGTATCTTAACAGCCAACTCATATATTGTATAGAAGCATGCATTTCAGAGGCAAGACCTTTGCCCACACTCCTAATTGTTGGCCTGGGTGGTGATGCAGCTGGTATACTTGTCCTTGCTGTCCCTCATCATGCAATGTGAAGGTGTGAATAGGTTTTGGTCAGTGATCACAGTTTAATCACCATAAACTGAATGTTCAAAACCATCTGACCTTAAGTCAAAACAAAATACACGGGTCAATGGAAAAAGATCACACATTCAGCTCAGTTACCAAGCTGAGATATCACATTATCAATGCACCTGTATGAATCAGCCTTCAAGTGAACCTAAGCTTTAGCAACATCTTAAGCATAAAGATGCAAAGCAATTAACAGCTTGGTTAGGGAAAAATATTTCTAGTATACATAAAAGGTACACAGCCCTTTCCCATTCAATGCCAAGTTTTAACATATTATCCTTGTCTCAGGTACCAGTTTTGCAAAATACTACAGAATATAACAATTCAATCTATATAAACAAACAAAAAGCATAAAATCTGTTTCCTAGCACTGAGAGGTAATCATGCTGTGAAAGGTCTATTCACTTGTATTCCTCTAAGATTATTAATAAAGCAACAAACCAATGTCATTCCTTAGAGGCTCAAACATAAATAATGTAAATCAACTAACCAAAGCAATCTATAAAGCAACGAATAGCCACAGCTAATTTCCATGATTCCGCATGGCAATACAGACATGCATTTCCACGCCACACTACATACATGACCACTATGCCCAAGTCTTTTTTCCCCCAAGTAATAAAAAGAGCAAATCCTCTAACACAGTAGTAAAGCAATGACAGAAGCACAAAACCTTACTTCAGATTTTGAGGACATGTTCTCCTCCATATCGGAATCATTAGGGTCCACAATATCATCAAATGGTGGTAATGTATTCTTCTTCTTCTCCAGTGTCTCACTTTCCATTTTGACTTTCCCAATCTTAAACTGAGATTTATCCTTTGTCTGTTTTTTGTCAGCAGTGGAACAAGTAAGTATCAGAGGGGGAGCAGTAGAAAAACTTTTAAATAAAGCCTCTGAGCCACTTTTCTTCTTCTTTTTGGCTGAAAGATCCTCAGAATCCATACCTGGAGGCCTTTTTGTAGGGGCCTTCTTTTCTTGTTGCTGTCCACCTGTTATGGTAAGTATGTTATTTTCAGATTTTGGCTCCTTTGACATAGGTTTGGGTTCCTTGAAGGCCATCTTAGGAACTATTTTTTCATCCTTTAGTGGTTTGTTTTCTTTGGGTTTTTTAGAGGATTCTTTGGAAGATTTGTTATGTTCCCTGGAAGGTTCTTTGAAGGCACTTTTATGTTCTTTTGAGTCTTTAGAAGGTTTCTCCTTGTGCTCCTTTGTTAATTTATGGGGCTTTGAAAAACTGTTACTACTGCTGCTGCTAGTGCTTACACTCTTATTTGGGTCCTGCAACAATGGAAATCACAAAGTTAGTATTTGGTTCAGTATTCTGTTTAAGCTACAGCAAACAGCTATTCTGCAACCTCCATTTACTTCAGTAAGATTTACAAAAAAGAGGACTGGTGGACTGCATTCTTTGGTCTAAATAGCTACTTTGAGAATGAACCCCCCCCCCCGCCCAAATAGTCTAAGGACTCACTGAAAATACAATAATCATTTACTTATTTTTTGTGAAGAATCTCAAAAGTTACTGCTTTCTAGTGAGATTTACAGAGATAAAGTGCATCAACAATGCGCATCTTGGTGTATTCAAAAGTTCCACTGTGTGCCAGGCAAAGACTGATGAGGTATCATTTTCTAGGATGAATGCAATGCTTAACATTTGACAGGAAACTTAACCACCATATATATAATTACATTTCATGATTTATCAACCCACTGGTTTAAAAAAAAAACATTAAGAACCTTGCAAAAGTGTACAAGCAGCATGGAATTACTGAAAGAAGTGCTGCTGATAAAGTATTTAAAAAATCAATGCATCACACAAGTTCTAAGTTTATTGTTATTTAAAAAGAAGTATCATGAGCATTAGGAAGATCCACCGAAACCTGGAGGAAAGGATGGATTTGCTTTGGGTGTCTGAAGAATAATCTTAATTAGATCCAATGCAGATCTTGACTTTGGAGCTTCCTGCTGGGATTCTTTGCAGCCCTTCTCAAATTTCCCAAGATGCGGAGAGAGAAAAGATGTGGCAATTTGGAACCACTACAGCCAGTACCAGGCAATGTTCAATAAGGTGAAGACAATAGGAAATGTAGTTCCCAGTATTTACAGCCAGCCTGGATGCCACTGCATATCCAAGAACTTGTCTGAGCTGACACGTATCCAATTTGGGCTGTGCCTGGTCTCCAGAAGGTTGTTGTAGAGTCGTGTGTGTGTGTGTATTGGGGAAGAGATGAGCAAAAGGTCAGTGCCAGTTTAAGTTTGTTCTAACTTCACTAGACTCAAGACTTTGAAGCATGGCATCCTGCTGAATTCAATGTCAAACTGCTTGTTCCCATTTGTGGCCACAACATTCAGGACAGGCAGAAATACCCAGCAATATAATGGACAAAATACAAAATTTTCTTTAAGTGGCCTTCTCCATGGAAAGACAGCAGATACTGTATTTATTACTTAAAGTTAGCAGTGTTTTCTTTCTGCTAATTTTGATTTTTCTTGTAGCCAAAATTAGAAGCTTTAGCACTAACCAATAAAGATATATTGTGGCGGCACCCTAACTGTGGAATGCCTTGTCACTGGAGATTCGTCAAGTGCCTACAATATTGAGTTTTAGGGCGTGACAAAAACTTTTCTTTTTTGCCCCACCTATGGTACTATTTAGACCATCTATATCAATGGCACTGGTTTTAATTTCAATTATTAACTGTATTAATCTATGATATGTCTGATTGTATATATTGTGTTTTATCTTGTTTATCCATCATCTTACCTGTATTATTTTATTAATGTTATTATTGACATTTTTATTGTAATGGCTGCCCAGAGAACATGATGCTAATGGGAGGCTTTAATACAAATTCAATAAATAAAATAAATAATAAATATCCCTTCAAGCAATCTGAATGGATTCAAACCATGAAACTGTTTTGAGGGCTACGTTCCATACATGTCAAGAATGCTTCACCTGGACAGCCAATAACATGCAGCAGCATATATCAATACGCACTGCTTACATTCCGGCACAAGTACAAAGCTATGGTTTAGCATTACAAGAATGAACCTAAGCAACCTCAGGCTTGTGTGCTGAGATCAGAAACTTGCACATCCATTTTAAATTAACACCAAATAATCATGCTATTTTTGTATTCAATCGTTATTTTAAAAATTAGTATTTTCATGTTTTAACAGTCACTTTTATTTTCACTGGTTATATGTTATTTATTATATTGGTATGTATTGTTTTATTGTATTCTGATTTTAAGGATTGTAAGCCGTCCTGAGATGCCATACATAAGGGACAGCATATAAAAGTTTTAAATAAATAAATAAAATGTTGGCTAAGCCTTAAACTGTGGGGCTGTTATTTAACCATCAGGGACTGCATATTGAAACTGGCAGTCTCACTGCAACATTGCAGTCTCACTGTGGGTTATTTGGTCTATGGTGAAGCTGCAACCCCTGCTTGTGGACTGCCATATCATGTGCAGCTGGTAGGGAATGCAAGGTTAAGCCATGGTCTGTTTTAGGGTTATATGAGGGTTGTTTAATGTTTAATGACAACTCCCTAATAGGGTTTGTATAAGCAGACACTTGCAGACACCACAGTGTATCATGGCCAGCTGGATGACTATCTAAACCCAGTGACTAGCTGAATAACTATGGTTTGTGGCTGGCTTGTTTCAACTAACCTTAGTTAAGATTAATCACAGTCTGTTTGGGTTTGGATGATACAGCTAGCCAAGGTTAATCTAAAATGGAAGTTAAGTTTCTGAACTATGCTCATAGGTGTGTTAAATGAACGTGCAAGCCTGAGGCTCACTACAGTTCATTATTGTAGTACTAAATCACAGTTTAGAGTTACATTCAAACCAATCTCATGTGGAATCTCCAATGTTCATCACTGCAAACCTACAGAAGTTTTTGAGGTGATGTGATGAAGACTAGAGGTTCTAGTCAGTGATTCTCTAAAACAGGGTAAGAAGCATGGTGTCCTCCTTTTTTTTCAAATGAAAATATGATTCCTGTAATTCCTGACCATTAGCCATGCTGGATGTGGATGATGGGAGTTATAGTTAAAAAGCCTGAAGGATATCATGCTTTAAAGTGATCTCTAACATGGTGCCTGCAAGTATTTAATTCATTTAAAAATATGTTACATGGATTTGCATGAAATGCAATTATAGACGGACTTCAACGGCAAATATCCAATTAAGTATCCATCTGAAAGTGACCTCCACATCTACCCATTCAAGGAAATACCGAAAGTGTTGTAAGGTCCTCAGTCCATTGCTTTAAAGGTGAATGTTTTCCCTTCCAATGTTGTAATATTAGTCTTCGGTTGTCAAAAGTGGTGGAAAATCAATTTCCCCTTCCATTTGTCAATTTCCGTGAATAGGGTGAATAATTGAAGAAATCACTGCTGAATTTTAAAGATGGAGTACAAAATGTATCTCTGTAATAACTAGGGATGCAAAGATAAGGCTGGAATCTGGCGTTCTTGAGCCTGCTGGACTTCTTTCCTGTACTTGGTCTCACCCAGAAAGTGACCTGAGCTAAAACCAGGTCCATAAATGCTTGGGAATGCTAGCAGCTTCTTTATGCAAAGTACATACTTCCTTGCGCAAAAAACACAAAGTACACAACTCTTTGCACAAAATACACAAAGCCTGCATGTTACATTTGCAAAGCAGAATGCTAGTTGCACAGTGGGCACATGTGTGCAAGCTGGCATCAAAGACTTACTTAGGCTTGCTCTCTGCCAGATGCCCATGCAAAGGCTCAGGTGGGCTCAGGACAGAGAGAAAGTGAGCTGGCATCCAAGCCAAGGAATTCTGACAGACTCCCACCCAAAATTAGGTTCCTCATATGCCCTCAGTAGCACCTACCAGACAATGCCAAAGCTAAGAAGCATTATATTGTGCCGCCAGCGATTAACTAAATTAGACCTTCTCTTATGAAAGAAAGGTTGCCGTGTCCAATATACATTAAAGAACTTTTATTGAATAAGTGATAGCCTGAAATTCACACATGTGGAAGGTAGATGTCAAACTGGTTGCCCACTGATTAGGCATTTGTACCCACAGCAGTTTCTCAGATTCTGAAATGTACCTACAAGCCCAAGAAAGGCTGGGTATTTCACTGTCGATCATTCTGCAGAAAATAATGCTACCAGTAGAAAATGGATATAGAAATATTTGAGCATTATTTTAACCATCCCAGTTAAACAGTAATCCACAGCATACCACCCCTTTTGCAAACAAAGAAGAAAAGCAGAAAATTATTTTTTTCTTTTCTTGACACACACAAGATTTCTCCCTAATTGTGTTGGAAGTAACACCATTCAACATAAAATGAGTTACAAACAGTTGCAGTCCAGAATTCATAATTTTTATTTCTCTTTTTTCAGTGAGAGATCATTGGATACACATTCTGCTCTTTCCAGTCATGAGCACACTACATCTTCCACATTATTTGTGAAGTTACCAGTCTGCAGAATACTGCCTGATAATGTGTTATTTGTACATTATGCCATCAACTGAAACAGGATTTTGCATGCATTTCCACTTTGGTTTAGTTTAGACCAATAAGCCTGGATGTGCATAAGTTTCCTGCACGTACATGGGGCCTCATTCTTTACTCCTTAAATCATGCAAATAGGGGCAAGAAGCCAGGCTTACTTGGAATTATGCTTAAAGAGAAACTTTCTTCCAACTAAGTATGCTGAGGGTCCCAGTCTTAAATTGACAGTATAATGAAAATAGTGTTGTGTGTAGTCTTTTCAGTTGCCTTGCTGTCATGATCTCATGTTACAAATGGGATATTAGTTTTTGTCTGACAGATTCCATAAGGCAAAGACAAGGACCGCCCAGAAGAAAGGAACTGAGGTGGTGGTGGTGAGGCGATGCAGTTCTTAAAGTAAAGCAATTTTAGTGGTTCATTAAATAGCTCATTATGTTTAATTGCTTAAATTTACACTGAGAATATCAAGCTGAACTGGTATACTGTATAAGCTCTTTCAGCTAGGCAACATCCATGCAGGCTTAATAAATTAAATTTAATGAACTACTTTAGAAGTTGCTATCAGTGACTATTAAAGCATGGCTTCCTTACATAATAGCAGTAATTTCTTGAAACTTTGTGGATGGTCCCAGAAAATCTATTAAAAATGACAGCAAGAAGGAAATTCTAGTCTGAAACTGTTTCATGATTTGGGAGAAGAAAAAAATGGTTAGATACATGACAGCTTCACATTACTACCACATGCCATTTGAATTAAAAAAAATACTGTATAGGAAGCAAAGGCTAGAGAAGGGTCTGGGACTGAAAGAACACTGAATGCACTGAGATAGTGGCAGCAGTTGAAAGCCATATATGCACCATCTTTGCCTCATGACTGTGTCCACATGAGTACCATATAATGGAGCTATGAGGTTTTGGTTCCCTTCTTTTAACACCCTCTGGACAGTACAAGACTTCTCATTCTAAAGTTTGTGAGAAGGAAGGAATGAAGAAACAAACTACTTTATGCAGCCAAAAGCCAATGGGTTACACATCTTGTTAGTATTACTTAGAGTAGATTGACTGAAATGAATGTAATAAATTAGATAATTGTTGGATACAATCCATCAGATACAACTCAATGTTTGAAATCATCTGACAAATACAAACAGATGGAAATACCATATTCGTTTATGTTTTCATTTTAAATGTTTAGCTAACTTGTAAAGCTAAATTTAAATCAGAAACATTGTTTCTTCTGGTTATTTCAAAGACCATTAAAGACAATTTAGCGTAAGAATCTTCACTAAGATCCTTTGAAAACAATGGAACAGAATTCTATTGCTAGGTTGTGAACTTAAGCTACATGGACAGAATAGACATGATGCATTCTGGGCTGTGGACAGTTTAACATATATGTTCATAAAAATACAACCAAATCGATCAGCCTCAGAAAGACATTCTAGCTCCACTCCATGAACATATTTTTCAGCACACTGAGCAGATGACCAGTGGCATTGAATAGTCATCACCAGACAGATGAACCCATAGGAAGTGTTCCTGAAACTAGCGCATGTGTATGAGATGCACTGCCTGTTTGCCTGCTTCATTCATTCATACATGCAGAGCAAACAGAATTGTCAGTATGTTACAAAGCAGCACAAGATGCAAAGAACACAAAGGATGCAAAGAAGTCGCAGCACATCAGTGGTTGCCCTTTACCTTTCCGCTTCCAGCCACTTTCCTAAGCTTCAATGAGTAACTATTTTTTAGCAATGGGTGATCAAAGGACTGGATCCCCAACAGTACAATTTAAAAACTGGTTAGTTTTATGTATGGTAGATGTGCAATATGTACCATATAAGCAGTGAACTATATGGCCCCAGACAAATATGTCATCTTAAATTTATTTTGCCACACTGTGGTCAGCCTTTCAGAATTGGATACAACAAGGGAACCTACATTACTACAGAACACTTCTGATAAATTTAAAAAATAATTAAAATTCAGAATGTATCACATGTTAAAGCATCACAATGACAATCGACAAGATCAAGTTAAACAACGCATTCATGCAGTTAAGCATTGCTTATTAACTCTGTTCCATTACAATATATTTCAATTCGTTTAACTTTTAGCTTGCCATATTCTCAGGGAAGTTAACAATGTAAGGAAAGTATTAAAAAAGACTCTATTATACATACATAGTTATAGATGCAAGCATATCCACACAAATTATTCGACTTGTGTTTTGCAGTCATAGATATAAACCAGAATTTTTAAATCTGTTATCAGCTTACATTTTGCCACTTGTTTGGATGTTTCACCATGATATGAAAGACTATGTACTACCATATGAACATGCCTGTAGTTAAAAACTTCTTCAGAGGTCCTACTGTACATCCCATCTCTAAGGCTATACCGATTGGTGGGAAGGCAAAACAGGACCTGTTCTATGACAGCATCCTGGTTATAGAATTCCCTCCTGAAATAGGCAAAATTGATCTCATTCTTTGTGGAATTCATGCATATATATTCTTAATTGGCTTTTAGTGGTTTTTTTAACATAAGGTTTTACTATACTTTTTGATTTTAAAATTCGGGTTTTGAGTTTAGATCTCTGGTTTTGTTATTACTGAACTGTTTATTCTGTATAAGCTCTGTCTGTGCATGTATGTGGAATCTGTCAAAAGTGGCAGGTTAAGTGTTTTAAATAAACAGATATCATGCTAAATTACTGCTGGCCATCTGCATTCCACATAGATTTGGAGGATGACAAAGCACTCTAAATGTCTCCCACTACCAATTGACAGTGAATTACTATGCAAATCCTCCAAGAATCAAACAGTATGCATAAATACTCTTAAAAGAGAAGGTAGCTATAAATTACGGCTCATTTCCACATAAGATTAAAAATGCCAATCTTCCCAGAACACAATTAGTACCCAACTTTCCTGATGTGTGACCGTGTTTATCGTACCCTATTTTAGTGTTTATCTTACCCTATTTCTGTTGCTGTTTGTAGTATGTTTTTATTTAAATAAAAAATTTCAACCTAAAAAAAAAATTTCAACCTATTTCTGTTGCTACAAATGGAACTTGTACTACCATGTGTTAATGAAAATCTGTTGCGCATTCCATCATCACAGGTTTGCAGATGTAGGAACATAACCCTTATTTCCTACAGGATTCTATTTCCAAGCATATTGCTTATTAGATATCAACTGCAGAGCTATGTAGTTGGGAAAGAAGTAGAGGCAGTTGTATCAGAGACTGGGGTACTTTAATGCATATGTAGCTTAGAATTACATTTTAAACACATGGAATAGAATGTATGCACACATACATTTTAAGCAGATATGCATGGGTTATAAATCTATCTGGTTGTTCACTGATCTGATTTAATATGAACTTAATTAATTTCTTGGCTCTTTTGGTCATGCAACATTCAAAACTGTTGCTCAGTTCTTCATACTAGGCCATATCTTACCTTTGGCCCATGAGATGATTTCTTCTTCACTTCAGAAAAAGAGAGGGAATTACTGGGAAGATTGGGGAGATGAAGACTCTGCCCTGAAGCAGCTGATGTTCCATCAGACATTACCATGATCTAGGGTGAGAGGGAAATAAACACAATAATAACATTTAGGGTAAACCCTGGAGTAGTGGGCACTTAAATAATCTGGATAGACAACTCCTGAGTTCCTCTGCAGACTGCATGTAATTGACATTAGTTTAATTAACATCATTTGGCTTTCACCATGAATTGAATTGGACAGATTGAAGTCATAAAGAATAGGAAACAGGACTGAGAAGTGCAACAATGCTGAGAAAAATAACCTGAGGAAAATATTTGTGATATTATGAATTTGTCCTGGGCTTGAACAAAGCCTTCAGCCTTCTTATCACAAACTTGTGTGGATCATCCATGCACAGTCATGTTTGTCTAAACCTTCTAATTCAGACAGTTCCCAGTGAAATACACAAATGTGCACATGGACACACACACAGAGAAAGTACAAAATGCTATCACCATCAGTGTCTAGACCATTGAAAACGTCACCTTGAATCTTAGCCTGGTTCTCAGGAGATCTGGATTCTGGTCCCCACTGGGCAGTAAAACATGATGATGCCATATGACATCCCACAGTGGGTTAATTTACTCATGGTAAAGCATATGCTGGCCACCTGGCTGGGGATTACTATGGCCTGTTCTGCTATCCAAATTTAGGTTATCTGAGGATTAAATAACTCTTACACAGTCCTAAAACAGACAATGGGTTTTACAAGTGTTGTTTCATCTTTAAATGACCTCTGCTGTGTGGGCTTGGATGATACAGCAAGCCATGGCAATCTTTGTTTGGTGCTTGCAGTTCATAATTTATTTATTAGATTTATATCTCACTGTTCCTCAGTGAACTCAAAGTGCCTTACATCATTCTCCTCCTGCTACTCTCAGTCTTGTCTCCACAACAAACAACTCTGTGAGGCAGGCTGGGATGAGAATCTGTGACTGGCCCAAAGTCACCCAGTTGGCTCCATGGTTAAGTGGGGACTAGAACCTGGAACTCCTGATTACCAACCCTGTGCTCTTAACCACTACACCACACTGGCTCTCATAATGGTGGATGACATGAGCTACAGCATCTTAAATGTTAATTCATTCACAGTGGGCTGACATGTCATCCTAACCAGGTCAATGACTCTCAACCTCACCTACTTCATAGGGTTGGTGCAAGGATAAAATGGAAAGGGGGGGGGGGGAATCTCATGAACTATTCTGGGTTCTTTGCAAGTGGAAAAAAGTAGAAAATAAATGTAACACTTAAAATAGAAACAAATACACACACTTCTTTTATTACCCCAAGATAACTCTGCTATGCTTCTGCTATTGAAATATAATGGTTAAGCTTCAGAAACTATGTCCAAAAACACAATACTGTAATTAAAAGGAAAATAGATCTATTTTACAGAAAAACAAAGATAGTGTGGCACATACAAGGAAAAAATGTCAAAAAGCATACAAACAGACAAACACAGATTTAGGTCTTTCTGTACTGTATTATCTGGCAGAGACACTGGCTTATATCCCAAAAATGTATATTCCTCCAGGAATCCTTCTGTTTCAAGTTACTGGAAAGATTTTTCTAATGAAGTAGTAATCTGGCAGTTTGATGAAACAGTTTAAGGCCAGGAACTCCAAGCTTTTGGGGTTGAGGTACTTTTAAATTTCTGAGTGTGTGTTGCAGGCACACTCACATAATGGCTGCCATGGGGAGGACTGCTCATTAAGAAAATGGCTGCCACTGTATGCATGGCCAGACAGCAACCATGTATTTCCCAGGTAGCAAACTTGCAAGACTAAAATAAAAGCAGATTTCCTAACCACCTAAACATAAGGCAAAGGAAGGGTCCAAGTTCCAAAGCACAAACCACTCTTTTGAACATACACAGAGATGGTACTATATGGAAGCTCCTTGCTCTGCAGCATGGAAGCCCCCCAGTTTTTTATTGCTAATAAAATAAAATAAAAATAAAATATAATATATTTATTTATTTAAAAATTTCTATGCCGCCCCATTCGCTGAAGCCTCGGGGCAGCTTACAAAATATAGGAGCAGCAAGGACCCTGGTGAACACCAAATGAGGGATCCACAGGCATACTATGCTCCAGTATGCTGGAGACTCTCAGTGTTTATCTGAAGAATCACATATTTTGGCATGAACCTGCTCAGTTATTAAAATAAACATGAAAGGCCTTTTTGGGGAAACCCATGCTTGCAAGAGGCTGCTTGTCAGTCAGGCAAACAGAATCTTTCTCCTGATTCTTCCCAAACTCTGGCACACGTTTTCTGTGGTGTTCTGGCTGGTTCCTCATTCAGACAGGGGATCAAGATGTGTCTTTTTCATTTGTCAATCAAAAATGTTTTTATGAGATTTAAGTCTGATTTTAACAACTTTTATTTGATTGTTTTGATCTTCTAGGATTTTTAAAAAATATATACTACTGTGTTTGATTTCAGAAAGGTGGAAAATATAATAAACAAACAGAACAGAATATATACTTGTTGATAAGGCCTGATCAATGGACATGATGCAACCCCCCCCCCCCCCCGCCACCGCCGCCGCCGTCTGTGGCAGGAATATGCAGGCCAGCTGCAAGGATGGTGAGACAGGTTGTTCTCTTTAACAAAAAATGGAGTCAGGCAAGTTAAGTTGACCAAATCTCACAATCAGGCTATTGTAGTTCAATCCCAAACTTATTGGGCATATGCCCTGCAGATTTGGGCAAGCAGCTGAGTGAGGAAGCAACAGGTGTGGTTATTTTTCTAACCAGCACTCCCCCCACAACACATGAAGATGATCTTAAGGCTTGTTCCAACCAAGCATATTACAGGATGAACATTTCATATTTGATTTATATGCTTGGTAAATGCCTTAAAGAACTTGTATCCATTCCACAATGAGATTGAATTTATTTTTCTCCCAACACCTGCTCTAACTATCAAAGTGCAGAATAGGAACATAAATAGGTTTGTTTTTGGATTGTAACTCTGCACTGTTACTCTTCCATCAGCCCAGAGCTCCAGCTTCGGATAGAGAACATCCCATAAGAAAACGCCCTGGGGCTGTTTAGCACACCAGAAGTAGCCAGAAATGGCCAAGGCGCTAGCATGCTTACTTGCTCCTGAACAGCCTACGGTTAATAAACTGCAAGCTCTTTCATACGTGAATCTGGTCAATGTCTGTCAACACAATACTCCCAACAGCCCTCTCTCTAGCTTAAAAACAATACCATATACCTTCTTCCTAAATGCCTCCTCAGCATTGCATACATTCCAGAGTTTGATCATACACACATGCAATAGTACCAGTGATTAATATTTGGCTGGCTTTGAGGCTGATGAGAGATTGTGGTTCCAGACCTAAAGCACTAGATTTCTTTTAAGTTTCCAATTGTCCAATTAGCCTGCCTATATCACAGTTGAACAGAAATCATTCTTGTTTGGTTTGCAGATAATTCTTGTAACAACAGCAAACTAGTTGCGCTTGTAACGTTTGTGCACTTGAACTATTTACAGAGGTACTATGTAATGGATTCATCACCTAGCATACTGCTGGGGTTATGATGAGCGCAAGTATTACTTATGAGCTCTATATATCCCACATTGCTGTTATACTAGGCCCATAATGACAACAGGAAGTAAGCAGGTTTTTAATATTTAAGCTGCTAAACTTCTTGTGCTTTGTGTAAATTTATGTGCACACTGATACTTTATTTTAAAAGGTAAACATTAGTTTTTCATGCCTATTTGTTGCCAAGAAGTCCTGTCAATAATTTTGAAAAACAAGCAAAATTTACTCTCCTGAGGGCAGGAAATCTTGCAAACTTGCTTCAACCACAGCAAGCTATAAATTCAAAGCAGGCTTTCAGAGCTGTTTTTTCTTAGAGAAGCCACATGATACAACACATATAGATGAGAAACACTGAATTTGGTGTTAACAAGCTTTTAAAACTTTGATTCCAAGAATGGAGGAATTCCCCTTGCTTGCTGGACAGGTAAGAAGGAAACCAGTTTCTTAAGTTTTCCCTGTAACTAGCACAAGAGTAAGACACTAATAATTGAAGAGTGGAGGAGGCAGGAATGAAAGGGCAAGCAAAGGCATTCTTAGCATAACTCCAAAACTAGACATTTCTGAATGTTGCTAATGCTGGAGAGAAAGAGGAAGGGAACTGTTTTTCTTGTCAGATAAGCATTCAGTTACCTGCAGATAAACATTTAGATTCTAAACTCCTGCCACTGCAGGTCTAGATTTTCCGAGAGCTTTCCCAGAAAATCAGTGACAAATAAAAGAACTGAAAACCAAAGGAGTGACTTTTAAGGGCCACTTGTGAAGAGCCAGTATGGTATAGTGGTTAAGACTGTGGAAGTGGGACTAAGGGTCTAATTCCCACTCAGCCATGGAGAGCTACCTCGGTGACTCTGGACCAGTCATAGATTTGCAGCCCAACCTAATTCAGAGTTATTGTTGGGAAGATAGGATTGAGAGAAAGAAAAGAATCAAGTAAGCATCCTTGAGTACCTTGGAAGGAAAAAGGTGGGACACAAATGTAATAGAAATAAATGAAAATACCCTTTGCTATATATCAGGTAATTGGCTACACAAGAATAGAGAATTAAGTAGACCAATCTGACCTTAAACAAAGTAGTAACAGCAATTTTGTAATTACCTTTACTCTAATGCAGGACAGGCATACTCTAGGGACAAGGAGAGTATTAACCATGTCAAGTTCTTGGATACTAGATTCTCTGGAAATGAAGTCCTAAACAAACTCCCAAGGAAGAACAATTTTACAGTAACAGCATTCTAACATGTTAACATGTGTAAAGCCATGGAACAAACATCAGGATCTTGACCTGAATTAGTAGTTTGTCCTCCTGTCCGCAGTCCAGCAACAGTCTCTGCAAACTGTGTCACTACTATTTCACTTTTACTTATTGTTAGTAAAATGCATAATGTGCTTTCATTATAGGGTTTAAGTAGCTGGTCTTTTCTACTCAAAGGAATGTTTTTATGGTGTGTATGGGGAAGGATCTACTTTTGACATGGCCTTGAGCATACCACTAGCATGAAATGAACCTTCTTCATGTGCTTTTTACATATAGATGGAACTTACCCCTCCTGCTTTCAGCAGCTTCTTTCTGAACTCTTCCGTAGGGTTGTTGAAAGTAAGCTTTTCACAGCGAAGATGGTTTACAGGTGGATGGCCTTCCAGATGCAGGAATAGATCATAGTCAAAGCGGACTTTCTTCGGTTCTTCCTAAAGGTTAGAAAACAGTTATGAAATAGGGGGAAAATGAAATGACATGATGCAGTGACTTTTATCCCAGTGTTCCAAAGTCATTTCTTTACCTGAAGATTAAACAGAACATTAAAATCATAAAAATCTAAAAATTGCTTGGATGGCGATCTTTAAAAGTACTTAGTGCGTTTAGCTATTTTGGTATAGGGCTTCCCCACTTGAGTCAAGAACTGAGCCTAACCTTCAAGAGTTGAAATGATTTTAGAACAAATTTTTAACATGCTGGAATGCATATTTTTCTATGCCTGAACTAAACATAAGCTTTCTCTGGTAAGGTAGCCTTATTAATTCAAATAACTATTTATGTGGCATTCTGCCAGAAATCAGGAAGTTATATTTAAATTGTAGAGGCGTGGGGGGGGGGGCATTTTGAGCCCAATATGCAAATCCATCCTACAAAAGTAGCTCAACTAAGATGCTTTCACATTATTATCAAAGACTCACACAACACCTTCATGGCATTTTTTTTTAAACTCCAGGGCTCACTTATTAAAACAAATTCTGTGCCAGGTTGCCTGTTGCAAACGTTCAGAGGCCATGGATTGTACAGAAGTGATCTGTGTTGCTAAGTTGTTACTGGTTATCTCTAGTGTTCCAATATCATTTCCAGCTATTCATTATGACGTATAAAGCCCAAAGCTACCTAGCACCCTTTATATCTTCATTATCTCCTTTCCTAAGGCTCACCACAACTATTAAAATCAGCTAAGGGCTCCTAATTAACAATGACATTACTGCAGCAATCTTGCTGCTAACTTTTATTTCTTAGCAACACTGATTATTTCTACCATGCTGCCTGCTTTGAATTTTGTGCTAAGAAACGAAGCAAATTAAAGACTAAAAATTGTTTTTACTATTTCATTTAAGCTCAAACTAGCCCCCATATAGGAGGTTGCTGCTTTTATTTTAGAAACAGGGAACAAGGCTGGAGGAAAGTGACTTGTGCAGGATTACCTGGCTCAGGATTACACACTAAGTAGAATCTAAGTATTAATTTAACTCTGCTGACTGAATCTCAAGGGCTTTAACACTGGTGAACAGTGCAATCCTAAACATATTTACTTAGAATTAAGCCCTATTGTGCCCACTGGAAGTGTGCACAGAATTGCAGCCTTAATCAAGTTATGTATAATTCCCTGACATTGAAAAGACTGAGGCAGCAGATGCTTGTACAGAGAGATGTGAACTCAAAGGACAGTCAGATATTGTCCACTGCATTAATATGCATCCTTTGCCAATGAAAAGCTCTACCTCATACACTAGTTTTAGATGGCTAGACTTGTAACATATATTATGTACATGCACATGTGCACACATACACAGAACATCTATTCATATTTTAAGGTATGTTAAAACTATGTTCTGTTTTTTCATAAGGGAAATTAATATCACACAAGATCCACTATTATTGTTCACTGCACCAGAATTTAAGTAAAGACAGTGTTTAATAGAACTACTGTTGTTTAAGTAGCTCTTGAACATAAAAAATACAAACAACCACCTTCCCAAAGCAAGCAACTGTGATGCAAACTGGAGTATGAGGTAAAGGAATCAAATTACTATCCTGTTGTAAACATAATATAAAAAGGCCTGTTCTGGCCTTCTAAAACAGCAGCTGCACAAATAATGATACATCTTCAGGCAAGATAACACTGGACATTTTCCTTCTCTTGTTCTGACTGCCAAAAAATGTAAGATCTGAAAGGCACAGGCATACAAAAATCCATTTTCTAAAAAATGGAACATGGTTATGCACGTACAGGGTTTCTTAAAATATATGGTATTTCTAGAAGAACAAAAAAGTAATGTTCAGTGTTACAATCAAATTGATGCTTGCATCCTTTCCTCCCCAACACCCGAGATTCTCAAAAGCTGCTACCAGTAGGAAACAAGCCTCCCCATCTGCCCAAGGTTCTCTCAGTAGTTAACAAACTTTCTCCGGCTTCTCCTTTCTCCTGCATTTGTGTGCATCTCAAAAGCAGGGAATGGTTTTCTATTTGTCTTGTAACTACGGTTCATTAAGCATAATAAAGGTGTGTTGAAATAATTATGTTCAGAATCAGTAGAACTGAATGAGAATACAGAGTAACCACATAACTGACTCAAAATAAGAGCTATTATTTTCTGGTGATTGGAATGGCCTAGGTTAAAATGTACTTTCCAAGCAGCAACTACTTCCCAAGAAGACTCTCCAGAGAGTTGGGGGAACCTAAAGAACTTTGTCCAAAGTACCTTAATGGGCACCAAAGATAGTGCAGAACGAATACTTGAAACTGGGCAGAGGGTTCTTGCACCACTCCACTCACACAGGTTGCAAATTTGGAACAATTTCCCTGCTTTTTTTTTTGTTGGGGGGGCACAGGAGAGAGGGGGAAGGGAAAGGTATGCGAGATAGTCTTCTACTCACAGAATATGGGATTTCACCCAGTATTATAATATGTTACTGCAAAGAGAAAATATTAGTTTTTATCCCTTTCTTCTAAAGTTCCTCTAAATACTGTTCTCACGCAAAGAAAATCTAAAGCAAGGTAAACAAATTTGGAGATATCTTGCATAGTAAAGTGCAAGTGAAATGGGAAATGAATTCCTTAACTGACTATGTGTCTTCTGTAGATACAGATGCTACAGAAGCAGCTTTGGACATTTTGTCTTGTCTAAAAGTCAAGCACTTATACACATTACTTCAGTGCAACTGTATCTAAAACAGTATTATGCCAATTACAAACTATTCTACAAACTAAATTACAAAATGCTGAAGTATTACAATTTCCATGAAGTGCTATTAAGTTTTTAAATCAATACATTATTTAGAAGTACCAATATTATATCTCTATTGGAGATATATGTGAACATTAAAAAACCCTTAACTTTCCCCCCTCATTTTAGTGAGAAGTGCTTTACAACCTGCTTTAGACAATGACTATCTTGATGTTTTCAGCAAAGTACAAGACATTTTCTGTAAATACATCCAATTTCTTTATATGCCTATTGGGCAACATTCAACATTGTGAAAAAGGAATTATGCTGTTTCAACAGAACTTTCCCACCCTATCCTCTCACCTACAAGACCTCCAGAGTTTGCTCTAGAGAGTCCCTTCCAAACCTCCAGAGAAGATTTGGCTGGTGTTGAGAACCACATGGCGGCGGAAGAAAATCTGCTTCACTGTCAGATAATGTTCTGTTGGCAAATTGACATAACCGGAATTACCTACTGTACTTCCAGAGCACTTAAAGCTCAAGAAGAGACCGTCTAAAGCAGGGGTCGGCAACCTTTAACACTCAAAGAGCCATTTGGACCCGGTTCCCACACAAAAGAAAACACCGGGAGCCACAAAACCCTTTTGACATCTAAAATGAAGATAACATTGCATATATCGTTTTGTACCTTAATGCTACAGTATGTATATCTTCATTATGATTTAGCTGCAGCTCTTGTTCAGTCACTAAAAACTGTTATTTTTAATCTTACATTATAAACTAGTAGGACTCCTTTCATATATTTTGAATAGGAGAACAGCTTTCTGAAGAGTCAAAGTCAGTGCTAAAGGGCTGCATGCATTAAACAGCAAACCCCATAAGTTCGTCAGCAGTAAAAGCAAATGAATCTACCCATGTACCATTAAACGTTTGGTTTTCTTCAGAAACTTTTATTTTCTTCGATTTATCCATGGTTGGCCTACGGGGGCGGGGGGAGGGGAAGCTCAGTAAATCGGCACAGGTCCGCAGATCGGCGGCTGTGCCGGAGATATAGGTGTGTTTAGTGACTGATTAGCAGATAAACAGTCAAGTGCTGTGAATTGTGACAGGTCCCAAGCACAGCTTTTAACATTCAGATGAAGGAGATTACATTCAACAGAGTTCCGTGTAACATGAGAGCCTGCAGGAAGCTTGTTTAGCAGAGGAATGTAGCGATTTACTTAACTAGCTGATTTACTAAACTAGCTAGCGCTGCGTTCCTGAGTGGAGCTTTGAGCAGATCAGCGGTTGTGCCGGCGCGTGTTTTGAGCGACAGAGTTGCAGCAGAGGGGTTCAAGAGCCACATGCGGCTCCAGAGCCACGGGTTGCTGACCCCTGGTCTAAAGGAACAGATACCTATGTTTGAAGAAAGTGAAAGAACAGAAGTACACACCTTGTTCTTGAAGTAAACCTCTATTGGCAAAATGAAACCAGCATACCCAGATTCTTCAACTTTGTATGGTGGATCTTTGCACACTAGAATAGAGAAAGAAAAAGGTTTTTAGTTTTAGTTTATGTGGAAATAATTCTATAACTGAAGCTGTTCAAATTGCCTGTGTAAAATATTCCTTAATTTTTAAGCATTTGGGAAAATGTTACCCATTCACTACACAATTCCAATTCCTTGTTCCCACCCTATGATTCAAGGAAAGCCAAAGGAGTGATTTGTTGCAGGATGGACAGAAATAAGGAATGCTATTTTTTCTTCAGAAAACTTCCAGTTTTAGAAATACCATGTTTCATAAAAGTAATTATTAACACAGTAGGATGAGACCTGCCTAATTAAACTGAGCAACTAGCATTGATACAATAGTAGTAAACTAAAAACTATGTTGCAATTAACTTTTTCAGTGACACTTCCTAGAAAGGCCATATATTTATACAAATAGCTCTTTAACCATGCATAAATTAGAATGTTAACCTTTTTCACTGTTGCCATTTCCATGCTTACAACAGTTACAATCTAATAATAAAGAAATGTATACTATTAAATCTGTACAAATATCACCAAATAATCTAATAAAATTTGTTTTTCTGGTCTAGAAACATCCACTCCCTGTTCATGGCTTATGATTTTGATACAAGCACATTTTTCAGACACAGATTTATTTCCAGAGAGAACTAACTATTGCGCAACACCAGACTCCACCTCTCGAATATATACTGCAATGTATTGATGCACCTACAAATAGGAGTAACTTAAAGGAATTATTACGGTATTTTTAAATACATTAAAAAGACAATATTGTTAAATACATACATAAAATACTTCTGTGTTAATGTCAATCAGCTTAAAGATACACATTGTTTACAGCAATGACCAAAGCCATTATCTTCTGTTTGGGGTTCTTGGACTAAACCTGCACTCTGTCTTCAATGGATTACTTAAAAATTAGTGAAATATATAAACAAGATTGCTATTTCTGTTCCTGTCTGCACAAATACAAATCAATGTTCTAGGTATTCAGTAACTGTAATATGTAATACTCCTGATTTGAAATACAAATCAACATACAATGTTAAGATTAAACACTGATTAAAATCAAGCCTACACAGTAGAGTTCAATTTTAAGGCCTTTACCTTCAAGTCTTGCCTATGGATTTCAAGGAAGGATCTGCGTGACCACTATTGGAAACATGATGTTGGACTGAATGAACCCTGAACCAACCAGACTCTTATTGTGGAAATTTAACACATAGTATTTTGGGAAGAACAGAGTGGAACAACTTCAAAAGCAATCAGTGGTTGGGTTGAATCATACTGTTATACCACATTGGTTTCCACCATGGTGTGGTCTGACATGTTGTATGAACGCTGTCAGAGACTAAAAGCATGGTTACTTGGTTTCTGTGTAACCACAGAGTATGTGTACATACTTCAAAATACCAAAGGCCAGAACAGCAGAATAGTGCACCAACAAGACGAAGTGAATTATCTTCAAAGGCAATGGGATGAATCTTACAAGCATGGCGAGTTTAAAAAGTTACAGCCCATTCCCAAATTATGAACCTCTGAGTTATGAACCATTCATGCTTAGGAACTGTCATGAAGTATATTAATTTTTTAAAAAATTACTGCAGGAAATTGTTATCACCACAGAGAGAAGGAGGAAGTGAAAGGGAAGAGGGGAAAGTCTCCAAAGTAGGCCTTCTTGCCCACCCATCCAGAGAGGGAAACTATTTCCTTACGGCAAAGAAGTGGCACTGGTGAGTTTGGGTGGGGAGAGATATTTGTGGTTTTTCCACTACATGAGGGGCCTGTGTCCCAAACGCCTGTGACTGTGGAGGGCCAACTATACATGATCAGTCTCACATACAAATTCAACTTAAATACAAATTTCCATTTTCTCAAGAATGGAACTCATTTGTAACCCAGGGACTGCCTGTATTACATTTAATCTCCTGTTTTTCCTTCTTGCAAGGAACCCAAGGTGACCTAGGTAATCTTCCTCCATTTTATCCATATTGCTGTACTCCTGAATGAGCAAATGACATGCAACCACAGATTAAGCACTATAGCTATAAATTTCCTTTCTTTTCAGAACATGCCTTCCAGTGGAATCTATTTACACATTTACATACAGCTTTTGAAATTATTTGCGAGTAGTCTCATGCCAAGGTCGCCTAAGGAATTTGATCTATCAATAGACCTGATCCTTTTTTGCAAACTAACATGAGAGTGTAGTTTATGTACTTCTTGAACAGTTTGGTTCAGGTTAAAAAATATCAACATGAATTTAAAATGCATGTTTAATTAGAAAATTAGTTTCTACATGGTTAAATAATTCTTGAGCATTTTAAAAAGAAACAAGAATGAACAGAAAATGGGATAGAACAGATGTATGAGTGCTCACACAGAGATCAGGCACACAGCAAGATATTTGTCCCCTAGGTTACACCTGTTTACCATCAAAACATAGCCACGGCAGCTTGTGCAGAGCAGCACAAGACACAAAACAGACAGAAAGTCAATTTAGCATAGAATTTGCATTCCTCAGTAGCCAACCAGATATGTTTGGGAAGTCCACATGCTAGGTAGTTAGGGAAGAAACCTCTCCTGCTGCTACTCTAGCAACTGTCCATGTATGTGAAGAATCCACATAACCATGATGACCAGTGGCTTTTGGATATTCTTATCCTCCATTATTCATCTAAGCCAACTTTAAAACTACTCCTTGAGGAACAGGAAATTCCACACACTAATTATGGACTATGTGAAGTAGTAAAGACTGGGTTTGCACAACACAAAGACCCATGCTGGTTTGTCATGTCATGCAAACCTGGATAAATTCCCACAGAATGGCATGTTTGAGAGCAACATGTCCCTTGAAAGCCCATCGCTTGTTGTAGTGGTCATTATATTTGTGAGCCGCCCCGAATGGCGAATGGGGCGGCATAGAAATTTTCTAAATAAATAAATAAATAAATAAATATACCCACAATCGGGTTGTTGTGTTATTTGAACCCAGGAACAAACCACACTGTCGGTACCGAACACTGACCAGCAACTTGCTTGGCGAGTACAGCAAAAAAGTCCTTCCTGAGCACCCACCAGTGCCCACTGCCCTACAAGTGCCCAAGCAGCACATGGGGGATGGCTGGCACTTGCTGGATAACCCCCACCATTACTGTGAGCTATTTCAGCTCACTACAGCATTTCTGACCCTTCAACTCTTGCTTTTAGGGAACTGTGAAAGCAGGGTTTCCTTTTCCCGTTTTCTAAAAATGTTTGATTGTATTTGTGGAACTGCAGAGGTGTGCAGTTCCACAGGTGCAGCAATTCGAAGCCTCAGATGGAACAATGTCCTGTGTAGTAACAACTTTGGACATTGACCCCCAAAGAGGCTCCAAATAGATATTTCCTTTCCTTGGTTTCATTGATAACTGTCAGAAGATAAGCCAACAATGGAAATAAAAGGCACAAGTAATCTTTGTTCTTGAAAAATGGGGGTGGGATTTGCACTAGACTGCCTTAGGGTGAACTCAGTTTTCCAATTGATCTCAAGACTCTTGGTGCTAAGGAAAATGGAAGAGTACAAGAAATGCCCCCCCCCCCCAACACACACTTAAAAGGAACTGGCATGTTGAAAACTAGCTGTCAAAACTATGGTTTCCTTTGAAAGGAATTGCTTGACAGAAGTGTATATACAGCCATACCCTATGAAAAATCCATCAGGAATGCTATTCTCTAAAGCAATTTTTAAAGGATCCTGAGTTTGTAACAGATGTCAAAACAAAAATATTTTTTTTAAAGGAAAAAAATATGAAAAAAAATTCTGATCAAATCAAGCAAGAACTTTCCTTGGAAGCAGAACTGACTAAACTGAAGCTCTTGTACTTTAGCCACATCATAAGAAGGCAAGAATCACTGGAGAAGCCAAAAATATAGGGGAAGTTGAAAGCAGAAGAGGAAGGCCAAATACAAGAGGATTGATTTCACATAAAGGAAGCTGCGGCCTTTAGTACATAAGACCTGAGCAAGGTTGTCAAGGACAAGACATTCTGGAGGTTATTCATTCATATGGTTGCCATAAGTTAAAGATGACTCAATGATACGTAACAAGAACCGCTGATAACCCCTCCAGCGTGCTACTTGGGCACTTTGACAGACCCTCAGTGGCTGTCCAAACAGGTATCATGAAAATCGGCTTGAAACCAGCTTAAACAATCACTGGGGGGAAAATATACACATATATAAAGGAACAAAAAAGGAGCAGCTAGTCAAAAATGGCTCACAATTGCAGTAGGGATGGGGAGACAAGTCTGTCCTGCTCTGAGGTCCCATGAGATACCTGTGGGAGGACTGAAGAGAAAGGAGGAGGCAAAGAACCCACAGCAACTCCAATTGTCTTTTGGGTATACCATGGGTTTGTACAAAGCTAACAAACAATGGCTCCCTCTGACTTATTGCAGAGACTGTTAAAATGTGCAGATTCTTACTGTCTCTGAATCTGAAATTCCTGTTGATTGGATTAATTGGATAGATTAATATGGGCGGGGGGGGGGGGACAGGACCATACATAATTACTTCAGTGTAAATATGAGTTAACCATCAGTACAACAACAGTACAACTGTCTCCAGCATGCTTCTAAACATCCAAAACAGCAGATTAAAACATCTGCATTCTGCATTATTCCACAACAGACATTTCTGAATACATAACACAAAATACAAGTGGAACCGCAGCAAAATGCTCCTGTTCCCGATAGTTAATTCCATTCCCCATCTCTCTCAGTTTTTGTCATCCCTCTGCTACTTTGTCTCTGTTGACAGCACAATCATGTCAATTAGGAGTGACAAACTGGCAGTCTTCTGGGGCTAGATCCAGCCCCCAAAGCCAATTTTATTTAGTCCAAGACAATTCATATGAAGTGATAACAAAAGTTTTGTTTACAGTCTGATATACAGAGAAATTGCAATGTATGGCTGTGAAAGTTGGACCATAAGGAAGGCTGAGCGCCAAAGAATTGAGGCC